CTGTGTTTAAAAAATGTTCTTTTTTCACATCCAGACATTTAATAATGTTACGCCATTCTAAATTTCAATCACACCACAGTTTGCCTGTTCTGTAATGTTGAAAGGAAGGTTAGAAATGCAGATCCTGCCTTGTTTAGTGTTGCAGCACCTACTTGCCTTCTTGATCAAGTGCTTTTACGGCTTAGAAGTTGAAGGAATTTAATAAGTTTTAGTTTTTTCAATACAATGGGGTTCCCTCCCTTGATGTTACAGTATTATCTTTTTTAAATGATTTGAGGCTTTTAAAAAGCACACACAAAAAACCCAAGCGGTATAGAAATTCTATGAATAAATTAATGCTATATTTTCCAATAGTTTCTGAAACAGTGCCATGACCACACATGTTTCCTATTTTCTGATGTGAGGCTTTTGCTTGTGGAAGGAAGTGCAGCAACAGGAAAAAATTTGTGTGTGTGGGGGGGGGGAAAACACATGGTTTGGAGAAGAGTAAGTGACAAACTTGCAGAGAATAAAAATCAACTTTTCTGCAAATCATCTGCACCTTGTGGGAGTTGCAATCACTATGAGGTCCAAAAGACCTTGGGGATCAGTACAGAACCTGCAGGTTCTGACTTGGGAAATAAGGAGTTTCCAGCAACTTTGAATGAATCCAAAAACTACAGTGCACATTTAAGCTCATACAAATTGGCCTTCCATTAAATTTCAATGGGTGCTTCTATTGAAAAGCAGTGATTGATTGATTTCTCTCTCTCTTTCTCTCCCACCAGAAAAAACTAGACTCTGCTGGATTGCTTCACAGTGACTGCCTCTTGCACAATGGGCAACCTGCAGAATAAGATGGAGAGGACAAACGAAAGGAACTGGTTGGGACCAACAGTTCAGCATAAAAGAGGCATGGAGTGGTTCCCAAAACCCTATGGAAGAATCTCCACTGGAGCCTTCCCAAGAGGATCTTTTTGAGTTGGATGATAAGAATTTCGTTCTGGCATTGGAGAGCAGCATGGAGGAAGAGGAAGGAGCCGTCCAGTTCTGACGTGCTGAACTTGCCACTTCCAGCGCAAGCAGAAGCACATTGTGTCCAAGTTCCCCTGAACAGCACCCCAGGCGAGGTCCCAAAGCTGCGTAGAAGCAGGCGCCTCCTAAGACAGTCCTCCTCCACGTCCCTTGAGCCAGAGGACACCACCACTATGGAGCCACCAGCAAAAAGGCAGAGGATCTCTTTTGTGTGGAGATACTTCACGACCATAAGTAAATTTGTGGTCCAGTGCCGTGTCTGCCATAGGGCCGTTCGCCTTGGGAGGCCTGATGGTTGCCAACTGGTGGGAACCACTGCAATGCGCAGTCACATGATGAGAAAGCACAGGGACGTCCTCGAGAAGGCGTCAGAAAGTGGCAAGACTGCATCTTCCAGGCCTCGAACCCGGTCTGTCTCAGGCACCTTGGGGTCTCACTCCGCTCTTAACGAGGTAGCAGGAAGTGGCCAGATGACACCCTCCAGGCCTCACACTCGGTCCATGTCAGGCAGTTCTAGATTGCAGTCCACTCCGCTGACCTGTGTGGCATGCCAGCCAATGGAACTCACTTTGCTAGAGGGCAACAGCAGCCAAGATTTTGAGTCCAGAGATGGCAACGCTGTGCTGGTACCGGAGGACTGTGCAAAGGAAAGGGCACTACCAGGACTCAAGGAAGGAGGAGCCTCTGGCTTCAAAATGCCCCAAAAGAACCCACTTCAAAAGGTTGCCGCCAACATGGAACCATCAGCCCATCGTGGGAAAACGTCTTTTGTGTGGAACTCTTCGCCAAGGATGCCAATAGCAAATTTGCGGCCCGTTGCAGTCAAACTGTTAGTCTTGGGAAGCCCAGTGGCTGCCAGCAGGTGGGAACCACCACAATGCACAGTCATCTCATGAAATGGCACAGAGATGTGGCTGACAAGGCCGAAAGAAGCAGCAATACAACACGCTCCTTCCCTCCTAGGCAGAAAAGAAAAGGCAAATGACCGGCTCTGTGGAGGAAAGATGGAAGAGCTAGGCTCTGTGGCAACTGACGCAGGGGAAAGAGCAGGGGTAGCTCCTCACGTCGTCCAGGCGAGGGGCAGTGTGACAGCCTCAAAGAGAACCGCACAGGAGATCCTGGGTGAGGAGGACGTCCTTGGCTCTGAAGCTCGGCGCCAACGTTTCAGGCATTTCCGCTACCAGGAGGCCGAGGGGGCCCCGAGAGGTTTGCAGCCAATTCCACCGCCTCTGCCAACAGTGGCTGAAGCCAAGGAGACTCACCAAGGCTCAGATGCTGGACCTGGTGATCCTGGAGCAGTTCCTGGCTGCCCTCCCCCCGGAGATGCAAAGCTGGGTCAAAGATTGTGGGCCGGAGACCAGCGCCGAGGCAGTGGCCCTGGCTGAAGGTTTTCTCATGAGCCAAGTGGAAGACCAGAAGGAGGCTGAGGTGAGAGACTGTTTTGCTTTGGTAATTCCAAGGCCCCAATCCTTGGTTGTATTTGGATTCACTGCCTCACGAAGTGCTGATCAATCTTCTAGCTGATAAATTAGACCCTCTCAGGCGCTGGGATCAGCAGATGGTGCCCTCTTGGTAGTTCCTGCACCTTCAGAGGTTTGGTGGGTGGCAAAAGAAGGCCTTCTCTGTGGTGGCCCCTAAGCTGTGGCACTCCTTCCCCACAGAGGTACATCTGGTACCTACATTATACGGCTTCCAGCGAATGCTGATGACGCTGATTTTTACCCTGGCTTTTGAGGTGTATGCTTTTAGGACTCTCCTTACTTCTATGAATCCAATTTTTGAATTGCCCTGGGACCTTAGAGTGAAAGGGAGGTTAAATAATAATTAGTAATAATGATGATGATACCGTATTGGCCCGAATATAAGCCGCTCCCTTCCTCGCTTTCTCCCTTCCCGGCCTTGGGGGAGAGGACGGGGGACTACACGTGGGACAGGCACCACTTTGCTGTGCTGCATACTGGATAATTTTTGTAAGGTCGTGAATATAAGCTGCACTTTTAACTTTTCACGGTCGGAATTTGGGGGGAAAGTGCGGCTTATATACGGGCCAATACGGTAATAATAACTTAATACTTGAACATTTATTCATCTTGCGTTATTTAATGGCACCCCTGGCCTTCGCCTGACCTGTTTCCTGTCTCTCTCTCTCTCCCCCACCCCCACTTTCTTGCATGGGTTCCTATCTCAGGCGCAGGAGATGTCATCCAAAGCAACCTCACATTTCATGGAGGCAGAGAACACCCTGCCAGATGCCACCGAGAGGCCACTGTTCAGGGAGATCAAGCAGGAGCCTGACATGGGCACCACCTCTCTGGGTAAGGACCATAACGGAGCAGGCTTCAACATAGTCTCTCCTTCTCTTGGACATGCCTGGATCCTGTGGTTAAATTATGGAGCCTAAAATGCCTCCCCCGTTTTCTTTGTCTTCAACCATAGGATGTCGAACAACGTTTGGAGACAGCGAGATGGCCCCAGAGGTTCTTCTAGGCCTCCTCCTCTTTGTGGTGGACTGGAAATGGCTTCTGCCCAGTTGGAACAGGTACGGGGTGGGCGGAATTGTTGGGGAGACGGGCAGGGGACCACCCAGCGAGAGGTGCGGGATTTGATGGGACATCCTTCTTTCAGGCTCCCGTGTCCCTTGAGGAGGTGGCAGTGGATTTCAAAGAGGACGAATGGGCTCTGTTGGATCCGGGCCAGAGAGCGCTGCACAAAGAAGTCATGGAGGAGAATTATGCGAGTCTGGTATCTCTAGGTAAGGCTCCTCCTTGGTTTTGGCTGATAGATCCTGAAAGCAGGAATAGTGGCTGCTCTTTGTATGCGGCAGTGCATTGTGGGAAACGTCACGGCGTGTGACAGTAGCTGACAGGGCCTTTAGTGTGGCAGGCTCCACCCTGCGGAACTCCCTGCCTTCTTTCAGACGTCTACATAGCTGTCAACATTTGCTTTTTATTGCGAGGAATCCTATTCGGAATAAGGGAATTTCCCTTTAAAAAAGGGAAACGATGACAGCTATGTCTCTCTTAAAAAACTTTACTTTTTAGTTACATCTTTACAATAGGGATTTCTCCCCCCCCCTTCAGCCAGCTAGTATCTGTTGCTGTTTTACTGATGTTTGTAAACACGTTTTACAGATATTAATTTTCATTATTTTAAAGTTTATTTATACTTTTCAAATTCATACATTTCATTAATTTCACAATCGTTTTAACATTTCAAAGTTTGGCTTCCTCCGCCCCCCGCCCCTTCTGCAGTTCCTTAATTTATTTTTTTAATATCTTCTGCATATCCAAACACATTTAATTTGCTCATTTAATTATCTACTTTAAATATAAACTCGAATGAAACTGCAGGTTATTGCAGTAATCCTGCCAATGTTTTTATCTGTTTGCAATTTATCTGTAAATATTCACTAAGTCATTTCCATTCTTTTATAAAAAGTTTATCTTGATTTCTTATTCTTCCGGTAAATTTCACCATTTCTGCATAGTCCATAAGTTTTTGCATCCTTGCTATTGTAGTCGCATACATAAATAAATTTCTATACAATTTAGGTAGTTCTGTCGCTAAATTCCCAAAAGAGAAGGGTTTTTTGTTGTGTTTTTTTTTTAAGAAAGGTTATTTTGAACATCCTCTTCAATTCATTATATATCATTTCCCAGTAAGCTTACTGGCTTACCATTTTACAGATATTTATTGACTGATTTAATTGAATTTATGCCACGAGCTGCCTTGATATATGCTATGAAAGTGCAAATAAAAAAAAAATCAAATAAATAAATAGTCAGTTAAATAAGCTCTGGCCCATCCAAGCAATACATTTAAGGCAGCATTATACCATTACCCAGGCCTATGGCGATTAAATAATCTATGACCTGTAAAAGTGTGGGGACTATTATTCTACTTAGGTTGTCTGTCAGAATGCTCTTTATTATGTTTTTGTCATTGATGCTGCGTAATGTGTTTTAATGTTGTACACCGCCCTGATAAAGGGCAGTATACAAATTGAATAAATAATAATATCTTCTTTCTCTCAAAAAAGGACTACCAGTTTCCAGATCTGACATCGCTTTGCAGAAAGAATGGGAAAATGCACTCACTGAGGGCTCTGAAGAAGAGGAGAAATTAGCAGGTAGGTGCTGAATTGACATGGGACTCCCTGCATTTTTGGCCTAGCAAGCTATGAAGACACCTGGCAGACATTTTTATTTCTGTGTGACCAGACTCCCATGCCCTCCTTAATTCAACTGGTGGGCACCAGAGGCAGGCAGGACCTTTTTGGTAGTGTCTCCTGCACTCTGGAATTCATTTCTGAAAGATACACAACAGGGGCTCCCCTCAGTTTAAGAAAGTCTTTATAAAAGCTTACCTGTAACTGAATGCTGAAGACGTAGCTCTCTACCCTGGCCTTGAGACCTGAGACATGTTTTGAGAGCATGCCCCTTTCCCAGGACTGTAATTTTTAAAACTAAAAATTTTAGATTGTTGTAAACCACCCCAGGACCTGCTGGCAGAGGGTGCGTAATAGATTTACTAATGCTAATAATTTATGCGACTTATTTCACACACAAAAATACTTAGCACTTGATTATAGAAAAACCTCAAAGCAAGGCACATGTTGTATCATCGAACTACAGCTATTTCCTTGCAGGATTTGGGTTGTGCTTCAGAGTTAAAACAGAAACCAAGGGTAAATTCAAATAATTAAAAATGGGAATATACTACAAACACATCAGTATTCTACATATCTGGGTAGACTTGCCTGAGCAAAAAACGGTTTTAGCAGGCACCAAAAAAGAGTACAGTGAAGGCACAATATGCAGGGAGTTCCGAAGTATAGAGACTGCCATACTAAAATATCAATTTCCCCAAAAATGCGGAACATATTATGTGGCATGTGCAACAGTATCAGTTCTTATTTCCTTTTCACCATCAGAGGCTGTTTGATGGAATTGAAAGGGATCTGCCTCCCCACTTAATATTTTCTGCTTTCTTTGATTTCATTGAGTTTCCTTCCTGATTTGAGGACCTGTTCCTGATTTCTCTCTCGATTCTTTCAGGCGATGGGAGTGATGGTGATGAAGAAAACAGTCCTCAAAGAAAGAAAACTGAACAAAAGCAGAAGAAGCGCTTGACTTCTGTAGGGACTGGCTTCCGTGAAGTTCCTATACTGGCAGAACGTCATGCGGGAAACAAAAGGAATATGGAGAATGGAGAGAGGCTGTTGATGTGCTCAGAGTGTGGAAAGGGTTTCATTGGCTGGATGAATCTTACTAAACATCAGAGAATCCACATGGGAGAAAAACCACATGAATACTCAGAGAACAGGAAGCCATTCTCTCGCAGCTCAGACCAGGGATTCCATGTTGGCACAAAGCCCTATAAATGCTCAGAGTGTGGAAAGAGCTTTGTTCAGAGCACGTACCTGAGAGTGCATAAAAGAATTCACACAGGGGAGAAGCCGTACAAATGCTTCGAGTGCGGAAAGAGCTTCGGCTGGAGCGGAAACCTCAACAGGCACCACAGAATCCACACAGGGGAGAAGCCGTATCAATGTTCCCAGTGTGAGAAGAGTTTCCGTCACAGATCAAGTCTTAAACTTCACCAGAGAATTCACGGAGGTGAACGCACTTTATAAACATCGAGGTTTTGGTGGAATACATACGTTAATTCGCATTACAAAACTTGCACTTGGGAGAAACTCAACGGCCCTCCAGCTGTTTTGGGACTACACTTCCCATCATCCCTGACCACTGGTCCTGTTAACTAGGGATGATGGGAGTTGTAGTTCCAAAATACCTGGGGGGCCAAGTTTGCCTATGCCTGGATAGTGGAGCGTGGATATTCTGGTATCCCTTCAGGAGAAAGCACATGAATAATTACAGCAACCTTCACAATCTGATGCCCTCCAAATGTTTTGGACTACAATTCTCATTGGCCGCGTGCATCACAGCCACTGGGTTCCCCCAAAGAACATGGGTGGTGTTTGGTATTTTGTAGCAAAAATCCACCTTCCCACCAAAATACAGAACAACCACATAGGATTTGCACCAACCTGGAGCTACGATACTTTTATCACTGTCCCGTTGTGTTTGAAAGGAACTATGGACAGCACTTGGATTGACTTGTTTATTTCTAGAGTCACGTTTTCCCCTCATTATGACCTACTGGCATTGCATTGCAGTAGGATGTGAGGTTTTTCATCGTTTCTGCGGCTCCTGGGCTGCCTCGTGTGTAGCAGTGCAGAAAGGCGAGCGTACTAAACCACAAATGCAATGCAATGAGCTATTTCTGCTTAGTTTTGTACACAGCACACACATTTTGATAAATAACGACCTTTTGCATTGCCTTGGCGACATTTGAAAATAGGTCTTGGAGATGCCAGTTTTGTGTGGATGCCTTTTGGATATCTAGACTGGATTTGGAACACATCAAAGAAGAGTTTCAGTTAAATGTGGTGTAAATTTAAACAGGGGAATCCGGGAGGGAAAGATGGGACTCCACAGCGCCATCTGGTGGCACAGTGTTATATTGCATACACAACACTTTTTCTTTACTAGCCTAGCCGAGTCCTTAATGTGATGAGCACTATGTATATAATGTGTTATGTGTATTCTTATTTTGTTACTATTTGTATTTGTTATATAAGTTTATTTTTTATCTGTTGAATTTGCAAATAAACGGTTTTTTTAAATGAAACAAAATTTGGGGGGGGGAATTGTGTTATATGATCTCGGCAGGCACTCCCAGTCACCAGTCTAGCTGCCGAATTCTGGATTAGTTGCAGTTTCCCGGTCACCTTCAAAGGTAGCCCCACGTAGAGCGCATTGCGGTAGACCAGAGCATGCACCACTCTGGCAAAACGGTCCACAGGCTAGATTCTCTTGCAACACATTCTCTTGCCCTTCAGAAGAGAAGGACATCCCTTCCTTCTCTATCCCCTTCCTCTTTGAGCTTCCATATCTCCTGGAAACCTTGCCCTTGGTCTTCAGGATTCCCTGTTACCGACACTCCTATCTCTCAGTTGCTGGATCAAACCCCTTTTAAATGCAATCACTCTGTTTTGGGGTTGTTATTATGTTTACTGCATTTGTTAGACACTTTTTCTTAGTGGAAAAAAAGAGTTTCAGAGCAACCTAACCAGATAAACTAAAACAGATAAAACCAGATAATTAAAAACACCTAAAATGCTCATCCGGCAGCATCCATGCTTTTATCTTGTATTTATTTGTTGTTGTTTAGTTGTTTAGTCGATTAGGACTCTTTGTGACCCCATGGAACAGAGCACGCCAGGCACTCCTGTCTTCCACTGCCTCCCGCAGTTTGGTCAGACTCATGCTGGTAGCTTTGAGAACACTGTCCAACCTTCTCCTTGTGCCCTCCATCTTTCCCAACATCAGGGTCTTTTCCAGGGAATCTTCTCTTCTCGTGAGGTGGCCAAAGTATTGGAGCTTCAGCTTCACGATCTGTCCCTCCAGTGAGCACTCAGGGCTGATTTCCTTCAGAATGGAGAGGTTTGATCTTCTTGCTGTCCATGGGACTCTCAAGAGTCTCCTCCAGCACCCTAATTCAAAAGCATCCATTCTTCGGTGATCAGCCTTCTTTATGGATCTTGTATTTATAGTTTGCTTTTATTTTTATTTTATCCCAGAACTGCCCTGAGATCTTTTGATGAGAGATGGCATATAAATCTAATTGAAAAATAAAAAAAATAAAATTGGTTACAAAAAATCCTACCCCACCTGATTAAAAGATGAGCAGCACCATAGAAGGCACTGGCTTAGGGGGGAAAAAACACCTTTGGTGCCTGAAATACTTTCATGACATGATGAAAGGTTAGCTACTAGAGATAAAGAAATCAGTTAATCAGGGCCGGATTTAGAAGAAGAGAGGCCCTGGGCTGCTCCACTTGTGAGGCCCTCCCCACCCTCACAGCTAAAAGGAAATGAAAGAGTGTTATAAACAGAACTGAGTGAAGACAAGGATGCTGAAGGGTATTTAAAATTCTGCAATTCTCAATTTATCCTCTAAAGGACGTCAGATGTTATTGTTAAACACCATGGTGATTTTTTAAAAATGAAAAAAATTAACACTGAAAATCTTTTGCAGTACCTGAACTTCGTAAACCTTTTGAGGAAGAAGCATTATTTTTTAGGAAAATGAAGTTGCAATGTCATTCTTTAAAAAAACCACACACCTTGAGTTTACAAATTATATTGCCTGGGAAGTGTAAATAATATGATCATGATTAGCTGACAGTGTGGCACTTCTAGAATTTACTTTACGTTAAAACAAAAAAAAAAATCCTTCCAGTAGCACCTTACTTTACGTTGTCATTAAAAAGTCAGTTTTAAAATACATATTAAGAAGTAAACTACAACCATCAAATACAGTAAGGCTAAAATGTTTTCCTCTCCTAGCCTTCCTCATAGGAAAATCTTCATCAAAATTTGTTTGTCTAAGTTTGTCACTTTCAGTGTACAGAATGCTCAGTGTGGACAACCTTTCTTGAGACATTGTGGCCCTTAATTGATTTTTAATTCTTTTGAGTCTTGAAAAAAATCCTCTCTCCTGAGCAGCTAGTGACCATAGGGCTAAGAAATAGCTGCAAGATTGCTTCCACATTAGGAAAGGACATCTGGTGTTTTCCCTTGTATATAATTTGATAAAGATGAGACAGAGACTTCTCTGCTGTTTACAATCCAGGGGTATATAAGATTTCTGAAATAAAGTTTCCTGCAATGCAGGAATCAGAACGCGATCCTTTGCAGCCCTTTCAACTCTGCAGTTCTGTAATTCTGTGTGATATATATATATATATATATATATATATATATATATATATATATGACATTGCATATATAAATTGCAATTTCAGCTGAATTTGCGGGAACCACTTGAAACATCCCTTGTGTTGAGCCATTTCCATTGCTTTTGTTTATTTGCTCGTTGCAAACAGCTGAAAGTCTGTAAATGTTGATAATCAACTTGATTTTCAGTGGGTGGTTGAATAATTATAATTGCTACTGTAGATACATGCATATAGATTACATAGGTTTGCCAGCCTTGGCTTCTTTCCTCTCCACCCCACCCTTTTTACATTTGCAAATGAAGCCAATCAAGCCAGGTAATTGCCCAGGGCATTCCCCATTGTTAAGCAGATTAAGGTGAGGCTGGTGACCTACTTTTCTGCCCTCAAAGTCAAAGACTTGTTGCCATCCAGACCCCCAGGGGTCAAGTTAGTGATTAATTGGATTAGTTCAGTTTCACAGCTACAGCCTCACAGCTTTTGCCAACCTGGGATGTCCTTTTAAGTTTAGTCAGGAGTGTGTCTGGATATAAGTGAAGATTCTTTCTACCCTCTGCAAGGCAGGGTGTGTTTGAAGTTTCAACACTCCAGGTGTTACAGGTCACAAGAACATTATTTTATTCTTCTTGTAAACCACTCTGTGAGGTTTTTGTGTCGAACAAGCAGTATATAAATTGAGGAATTGAGAATTTGAGAAATGAATCATTTTGCCATTTCTGGGGCTTACAGACTGCCTTTTATACATCAGTGTAGAGGTATACAAATTAAAAATTGAAATGAAATATTTCCTTTTAGTTTTGTAAAGGAATGTTAACAGAGAATATTTATTCAACACACACATTAAATAAACAAGGGCATTTTTCACTGACCTGGCTGCATTTGGAAATATTTAATATAGAGGTCAGTTTCATGTAGGTGCATATTTGGGCAGATCAGAGGGATTGTATTTATGCTTACTGTATCCATAATGCGAACTGATGGTGACATTCCATTATTCCTGTATTATTATTATTATTATTATTATTATTATTATTATTACTTTGTGGAATTTGCAATTATTTATTTTCCATGCAAATAAATGACCTTCCTGAGAAATTGTATGAACAGAGGCAATAAATATACAAACAAATATCAGAAGCACAAACACACATAAGAAGGTAGGAAGAATCATAGAATTGTAGAGTTGGAAGAGACCCCAGGGGGTCATCTAGCCCAACCCCCTGCAATGCAGGAATGCCTGCTGGATCAGGCCAGTGGCCCATCTAGTTTTCACGGTGGAAGCCCGCAACCAGGAACTAAGTTTGTTTGTCATTGGCATCCGTCTAACTCGAAAGACAATGGAGTGTGCTTGCAGGGGTGAAGTCAAACGGCTGCAATAGCAGCACTGAAGTGACCTCCCAAAGCAGCATCTGTGCACACGCGGGTTGATTTCGGTGCTTCTGTGCATGCGCAAAGTGCAATTTAGCGCTTCTGCGCATGTACAACCGCCAAAACCCGGAAGTAACCTGTTCCGGTACTTCCAGGTTTCGGTGGTCTGCAACCCGAAAAAACGCAACCTGAAGCGGCTGTAACCCGAGGTGTGACTATAATAACAATATGATTCTATGATTCTAAGGTTTGTCCACTGTGTGAGCTATTTTATGCTTAGTGACAGAGTCACTGTGCCTGAAGCTTCTGACTTAAACTTCAGCTTAGTTGGTAGAGCTCCAGGCGTCAGCAAGCTTTTTCAGCAGGGGGCACCGCGGTCCACTGTCCCTCAGACCTTGTGGGGGGCCGGACTATATTTTGGGGAAAAAAATATGAATGAATTCCTATGGCCCACAAATAACCCAGAGATGCATTTTAAATAAAAGCACACATTCTACTCATGTAAAAACATGCCCTCCCAGAAGGCGATGGGGCCTGATCTAGCCCCCGGGCCTTAGTTTGCCTACCCAGCCTCTAGACTCTTAATCTCAGGGTTTGGGGTTCAAGCTCCATCTTGGGCAAAAGATTCCTGCATTGCAGTGGGTTGGACTAGATGACCCTCAGGGTCCCTTCCAACTCTGCAATTCTTAGTAAGAGCAGTTCAACAGTGGACTATCTCGGAAGGTTATGGATTGCTTCCATGGAGGTTTATAAGCAGAGGCTGGATGGCCCTCTGTCATGGATGCTTCAGCTGTAAAGGTAAAAGGTAAAGGGACCCCTGACCGTTAGGTCCAGTCGTGACCGACTCTGGGGTTGCGGCGCTCATCTCGCTTTACTGGCCGACGGAGCCGGCATACAGCTTCCGGGTCATGTGGCCAGCATGA